TAATTTCCTTTAAACATTTTTGCTGGAATTTTTATTGGGAATGTATTAAATGTGTACATTAATTTATGTAGAGTTTACATCTTTTAAATATTAAGCTTTCTTGTCTTTAAACATGGCCTATTCTCATATGCAAACAACCCATTTGGTTGTGTTTAAAATATCTCTTAGTAAACTTTTATAGTTTTTATTGCATACGCCCTGCATATTTTTAAAGCTTTTATTTTGAAATTTTCCATTTCTCCCCCCTTGCTCTTGTGAATGGAGTATTTTCTGATAGAAATTATATAGAATAGAATATTTTCCAATATTTCCATAGAAATTTTATTTTCTAACTAGCTTTCAGTTATTGAGGATATTATTGAATTCTGTGTATCTTCATAACATTTCCCTTGTTGTTGTTGTTATTGTTTATTCCCTTCGAGTGCAGCACTACTCATAGCAACCCTATGAACAAAAGGCCTGAAGCCCCTCTACAACTATCGATGTTTATCATAGTTCATAGAGTTTCTGGAGGCATGTAATTTAGGAAGTGGATACCACTCCTGCTTCCAAACCTGTTATAGTATATTATTGTCATTATGTGCCATTGAGTTGCCTGCGATGTATAGTGATGTATTAGTACAGTAGCTCTGAACCCTTCCCTGTCCTGATCCAGTCTCACTGACTCCAACACAACAACCCTCATTGCCTCAGTCACTGTATTAGTTATTCTATTAATTCTAATAGTTTTCCAGTCAGTTCTCCTGAATTTTCCAGATAGATAGTCACTTTTTGCAAAGAAGGATATGCTTTTGTCTCATTTTCCTCAAAGATTAATAGTTCTTAATCACTTTTCCTGCCTTATTGCATTGTCCAGAACATCTAACCACATGAAATAGTAGCAGTGATAGTGACAGTAGTGAGAGTGGTAGTGACAATAAACTTTAAAAGAATATCCAAGACCAGGACCAGATCTGGCTCAATCCCAGCCCTAGAAGAGTTGCGTCTAAAGGCCCGATGCATTACGGAGTTACAGTTCAAGTTCTGCACTGAGTACTGGGGATCAGAGATTATTTACCCAAATGTCTACCAGCCCAGAATTTCTCAATCCTTTTTGAGTTATTCTTTCCTCTTTAGTCTTCTCTAGGCTTTGAGAGCCCTCTTCATCTTTCTCAACTCCTAAACTACCAGTAGAAAAGGAGCTCAACATAGAGCCTTTCCTGCTATATTGTTTACTTTCAGATTGAAAAATACCTTTCCCTCTTCTTGTAGTCCCACTCAACTCTGTTAATTGATCTGGGGAGAGTTCAGTGTTCTCCGCTCAGAGAGAGGAAAGGGGCTTTCCCAAGGGCATACAGGCTCCTTGGCTGAGGAACTGGATGTGGTGACCAGATTCTCATCCTCACTAAAGTGTAAGTGATTAATTAGACTTTATGTATTCCTTAGATCTCTTCTTGAGGGATTTTGCAGGAATATGACTGGAAAGATAAATTTTGGAGTGGAAAGTTTTCCTTATCCCCAAAGTCCTACCTTCCCCCATACCAGGTTGCTAGAAAGATCCCTAAGCAGCCCCTTTATTCAACTCCTCCCCTGTCTTCCAGCCTCAGCTCAGCTGTATCCCTCTGTAGGGATTTGCCTGCAGGCTAGATAATGTATCCTGTACCCTCCTTCCGCGTACCTCTAGATTGTAGGTTTTCCTCTGCAGTGCCCTGAATGTAAAGATCTTGGGCTCTGGACTGGGCTGCCAAATTAGAAATCATTTTTTCCTTGCCTTAGATTTCTTTTCTGCACAATGGAGTTCAATGATGGTTATTACCTTATAGATTTAGTGTGAAGATTAAATGAGTCAATATATGTCAGAGACTTAGGAAAGCACTCAATAAATGTTAGTGTGTATTATCATTACCAGTTTATTTTATTTCTATCAGGAGTTCCCCCAGGCATGAGCGGTTCCTTTCTCAGTGTCTTGGTATTCCCTCTATTCACTGCGAGACTTGGCTTATAGCAGATGTTAAATAAATGTCTCTATTTGTTGATGTTGTGCTCAGTCAAGGATCACATACTAGGTGCTGCATTGACAGTGAAGAGAAAAATAAAATCCATCAATCACCTAAGTGCCCAGGTAACTTGGTTAAAGACCCTGGACAAAGGAACAAGTCTTAGTACCTCTGAGTCTCAGTTTCCCCTTTTATATAATGACAGAAAAGGATACATAGAGATTTATTCCAGGAAGTTCTAAGTCCAAATGCACTATAGGCTGCAGAAAGGGGAGGGGGGCAAGGGCAGGACGGGAGAAGCTGCTGTCCTTTTTTGGTCATTGGAATTCTCGGTAGCCCTGGGCCTGGCCTGGCCTTACATCATGGACATAAATGGCATTGCATTGGGATTATGAATGCTGAGGTGGGAGAGTGAAGGGCAGCTGAAGTGTAAGGTAGTAGATTTCAGGGCTGGGTCCTGCAGAAGTGACCACAGCACTTATGGTCAGGAACAGGGGAACCTGTTCACTAAATACTTATATGCAGAAGCTCAGGTGGACAGAGAATTGGAGCTCTGGGGGTCTTGCAAGGGAGCTGGAGAAGACGACTGGAAATCTGCTGGGCTAGGCTGGGGAGAGTGGGTGAAGCAGTCTGGGTTTCTGTTTTGTAAGCAAGGGCTTTGAAGTCATAGGCTGGGAGCCCAAGATGCCTTAGCCTCTTACCTACTGGTCACCATGCACTGGTAACGTCTCAAATCTGAGATTTCACCCTTAGTGATAACAGGCTGGTGTTGCAAGGACTAAAGAGGTTTCTGCAAAGAACAGTGTACAGAGCAACACGGTGTCTCCTGCTTTGTAGGTGAGCAGTGCAAGGCAAGGCTGCTCCCATCCCCTTTTTCCGGGTAGGAACGTGGTCATTTCTTATGGGGGTTGAGTTAGAATTTGGCCGGTCTGAGTTTGGTGAAGAAAAGAACCAAATGGGTATTAAAATTTAGCCAGCTCACCCATCCCCTGTGTCACAGCTACTGTCAAATCTGCTAGTTCTTTGTCAAGAGATCTGTGAAGACAGCTGTGTGTGTGTGTGTGTGTGTGTGTGTGTGTGTGTGTGTAACCATGAGTCTATGTATGGCAGCGAAAGGCTACATCCCAGGACTTCTGAGGCAAGGATGGGAGGGAAGGCTGAGGAGAATCAAAGAATCAAGACGTTATGGAAGATGACATCATGGTGGCCCAACTTTCCACGGGACTATTACCAGAAAAATTTACCGAATTTGAGCACAGCAAGGAGCACTTAGTCCCTGAGGGACATATCTGATGAATGCTCTGATCCCTTTTCCTGAGCCCTCTGCTGTTAGAAGCCAGGACCCTTGAAGTGGGGATACTCCCATGGGACAGGGTGCTTGAATTTGGCTGAGAACACACTTCTTGTTGCCTTTGTCCAGTTTCCTGTCAGGACTAACATCAAGGCCCAGGACATCATAAAGCCCCAGCCTGGGAGTCACAGACTCAGGGTACTGGTTTCAGTTCTGCTAGTGCCTCATTTTGGGGCCTTCCACAGTTCCACCTGGCCTCAGTTTCCCTGAAAGTAAAATGGGATCCTAATAATCATTTCCTTGCCATTCTAAAGCTATTATCACAAAGTATCACAAATGCTGACTTATAAGAACACAAATGCCCTGACCCACAGCTCTGGAGGCTAGAAGTCCGAGTTTAGTACTAGCAAGGCCATTTTCTCTTAAAAGCTCAAGGGAGAAACTTTGCTTGGCTCCTGGGTTCTGTGTCCCTGGGAATGCCTTCGCTGGCAGCTATAGCATAACTGTCATACATGGATTCCCTCTGTTTATTCTCTTTTGTAAGAAAATCACTGAGAGGTGATTAAAACTCACCCAACACTGCATGTTGAATCTTCAAAGACCCTATTTCCTAAAATCACAATAATATAAAATAAATTTTTATTTAAAAACAAAAAACCAAAAGAAAACAAAAAGCCAAAGACCCTATTTCCAAACAAGGTCACACCCCCAGGTACCATGGATCAGGAAGGACTTTAGAGTTTCTTTTTGGGGGCACAGTTTCATTGGTGGCACCCATCTCATCAAGCTGAAGAGCTGGTGAGGTGAATGATATTGGGGACCATAGAGATCTATTCAGAGAGGTAGCTGTCTATGTGTTGATTCTCAGATAACTGAAGACCATAAGGGGAGCAGCCATGCACTGAAGAGCTGTAAAGAAGCAGGTGTACCTCTTGGAATTGGGCAGAGTTTGCATGGGCTAAAGTTAGCAAGTCCTCTCCCAGAAATTCTTCGAGAACACAAGAGGAGCAAGTGAGGGGCAGTGCTAACAACACCTAAATCCTCGCAAGCTCACATCCTAACACTGCTTCCTGCAGCAGCTCCTCTCCTTACATGTGTCATTGTCCCTGTGATCTATCGGTGGGTTGGGAGGGTGCATTCATACTGCATCTTGAAGAATGTACCATCAAGTCAGAACTGACCCTTAGCTAACTCTCACCCAGGAGGAGACTGCCCATCTTTTCCCATGGAGACACTGGTGGCTTTGAACTGCATGCCTTTGGGATTGTAGCACAGCTCTTTACCACTAGGCCACCAGCGTTCCCTGGCATGTTTAGCGTTTGGTTAATGATGTTGGGGAGTGGTTTTCTCTGTGACGGGGAGACTGTCTAAACAAGGGCCTGGAGCAGGAAGGTAAGGTTCTGACTGAGCAGTGGCCTATGGTCTGATGACTGCAGCAAAAGACCCTTGTCTGTGGGCCTAGCTGGGCGAAGACTTGTAAAGTCCAGACAGAATGACTGAGGCCAGATTGTGGAAGACTCGAGACACTCGCCATCAGGGAGTCAGTGGGAGCTATGGAAGGTGTTCTAGTTGGGGCATAATGGACTCAGAGAAGACACCTCCCGAGGTGTGTGGTGGGAGGACGGATGGGAAGAATGTTTATGTTGTGGGGACAGAACTAGAAGCTGAGTCTATGGAGAAATGAGCCATCTAGACATGACTCCGCAGCTAAAGTGGAATTGTTTTTGTTTCAGGGACAAAAAGGAGACCCAGGGTTATCACCAGGAAAGGCCCATGACGGGGCAAAGGTAGGTTTCTGGGGACCTCCAGGCTCTAGAAAGAGGAGGATAGACATTAGGGAAACCCCACACGCTGGGGGGAGCCAGTGGGCTGGGACCTGTGCATCACAAGGACAGGCAGGTAGAATGTTTAAAAGAAAGGGATAGTTTGGTCACATCCTTGAAGTCCTTTATCTTTTCCCAGCCTCAAACCCATGACTTGCCTTCTTGTGGTGTACAGCCAATAATTGCCTAGGTGAATATCCTTTTGCATGGTACCCTTCAGAGTCTATGAGGTGACCTGGGGACTCAAGAAGCTGCTGGAAGCATATTCCCAGGAAACTTCCAGCAAAGTCTCCCTGAGGTTGTTAACGTGAGCATACAGGTTTGTGGATTGCTAGTCAAGAAGGAAGGGACCTGAGAACAAGAGTCTATGGATGAGAAGAGCTCTTCCCTCCTTGACCAAAGAGCTATGAGGCCAGAAGAGGAAACATGCCATCCAAAAGACATCTTCTGCCCTGCAGAATCCACTCCAACGCTGAGCCTGGGCCCTGCTGGGTGTCTTGGACAGGCAGAAAGGGGAGCCCAGCTGTCCTGGTGAGGTTACCCAGTGCCTCATAATGCTTCTTCTCAGCCCTGTCTGTGCTTATGCAGAGAGAAGTAGTTGGTCCCACTGACTATTCCAAACCCAGGACACGTGTTCCTTCACCTACTTGTTGGTTAGTTCAGACCTCCCAAGGTTCTCAGGATTGACTCATATATTTTCTGCAAATAACATGCATACACTATGTGTTTTTGGAAACCACACAACCCCTTCATGGATTCCTTTCCTATGTGTGCTGTGTTCATATCCGTGTCTACGGATGGGCACATTATATGCAAAAAAGACAGTAATCCCATAATAACCCTATTAGCTGGGGTTGATGGACCTAGCTTGCAGATGAAGAAACTGAAGCCTTAAAGAGGGATGGCTTATCTGAGGTCATATAGCTGATAGAGCTGGGATTTGTGCTCAGGTCGTTATGAAGTCCAGGGGCCTGAGTTTCCTCCTGTCCACTCTGAGCACTTGGAGGTGGTGGCAGAGATGTCCCCTGCTAAGGGTCTGCTGTGCCCTGGCAAGGGAAAGGGCGTGGACAGAAGAAAAGTTGTCTGAGGAATGCAGAGAGAGAACTGATCAGAAGAGGATAGATGAGAGTATAAGGCCTTGGGGTCATGGGTTTTCAAACACAGTTTTAGCAATGGAACCCATTCATCGGTTGGTAGCCTACGGAGAAGCCCATGTGTGGACTAGATCAGGTAGAGTTCCTGAGTGGAGCAGGGAGCAGCCAGGTGCCCACCCACTCACCTTCTCTCATCTCGCTAGCCAGCCCCCAAGACTCCTCCAGGCCTCTTTGAACTCAGCTTGGAAACAACTAGCTCTTCAGAGGCCCCATTGCCATTTAGCAAGTGTTTTTGCTCCTGTTTCCCCTCCTCTCACCCATTATCTGTGTTTTGCAGGGCAGCATGGGCTTGCCTGGGCTCCCTGGAACTCCAGGACCTCTTGGACGAAAGGTACACCCTTGCATTTGATGCTTTGCCTTGATAAGTATGGTGCTGGTGAGGCAGGCCTTCAGGCTAGAGAGCTGTGCACCCGCCTGCCCGGCTCTCCTCAGCCCAGCTCCACCCAGCTCTCTCACGCACAGGAAATGTTGGCAGGATGTGAGGAGGCTTCCAGGGGGTCCTGCTCGCCTTCCAATGCCCAACGTTCCTGGCTTGAGGGCAGGAACCACCTGAACATGGATCAGGTCCCCTTCCAAGGTTAATGAGATCTTGGCACTGGTTTGATTTACTCCTCTCAGGGCCCAGTTACTCTGTGAAGCCCCCCTCAAGAGTGTGTGGTGGGTAGGGGAGCACTGTCCTGGAGAGCAGGGCCCTGCCAGGATGGCCCTTCCTCCCACTGCATGAATGACCCTCTGAGGCAGCCTCACCCAGTGGGAAATGGAGCTGTAATCTCCCCTTGCCCATTGCCTGGGTGTCTTATGACCCAGCAACAAGAACTGGATCATAGAACGGACTCTAGGCTCGGTCAGACCAGCTTCTTACCTCAAATCTACCATTCCCTAGTTGAGGGATCTTAATCAAGTCAATGACTTCGTCCCTCCCTGATATTCCAGAAGTGAGTGCCTGGCCACCAGTCACCATAATTCCAGTGATAGGTGCAAGGGGAGAATGCTCCTTAGAGGCAGTGAGTTTCCCATGCATTCACAATTGTTTTTATGCCTCCCCATCCCCAGTCGTCCAGTAAGTACCCTGCTTAGCCATGCTAGGGGAGTTCCCCCTCTAAGTACCTTTGAGGGAAAAGTCTGCCATTTTCCCAGCTGATAGAACTCCAGCTTACAGTATTCTGGATTCCTAAAAGGGAATCCAGCATTGTCATCCAGCAAAACTCAGCTCTAGTTGCACCTACTCCAGGAAGCCCTCCTGGAACCTTTGGGCCTGGAGCCTTCTCTCTACTCAGGAACACTTAGCCTATCTTAGCTTAGTTCTTCACAGCCTTGTCCACCAGAATGTGCAGATCTGGCCTGTTGCTCTCCCTGCTGAGCTGAGCACAGGGCCTATTATATAGTAGGTGCCCAGGAAACAAGATAAGGGCAGAACAGGCCAAGGATCAATCATTTTTTTCAGGAAAATCCCAAATTGCTGAGGGTTTTTTAGAAGGTCCATTGGCTTAGGGCCATGTCCCAAGCTTCGGCCCTGGCTCCCAGCTGTAGCCACAGCTGACCTTCTTCAGGACATCTGGTTCTCATCTAGACAGCTGTGACAGCTCTGAGCTCTGTCCTGCCCCGATTCCAATGGTCCTTGTAGTACAGAGGAACTTGAAGGGCCACTTTGTCCCATCTCATCTTTACCTCCTTGGACAGTCAGACAAGAGTCCACGGCTGTCTGTGAGCAGGAGATGTGGGGCCTTTGCTGGCTCACAGAACACAGAAGGACTTTTTCCTCACTCACTTCCCCTCTGGGCTCCAGCACTTTCTGATGGATGAGGTGTGAGTGGAAAACACTCCTTCCAGCTCTGGCTCATAAAACAACCAGTGGTGGTCTCACTGCGCATGGGGGTGGGAGCCTAGCATGGGTGACAGGAGAGGGGAAAGAAGATTTGGACTAGCTGCTGGTCAGGGTCCCAGGATTTCCCACTCTCAGCAGATACCTACAAAGGCCCAGGCCCTCAGCACAGAGGAACGAGCTCACCTAAGAAGGGGACGTTTTTCTTAAGTGAAGAAAGAGGCTCTAGGCATTTGGAAAAAGTATTTGGCCAAGCCTTTTGCACTGAGTTCAGTGGCTGTGACCCAGACAAACATGGGCTTGGTTGGCATCAAGCCAGTGGCCCCTAATCGCAGAAGTTATGGAGATAATATAGGGAAGTTCAGGTCCCAGAGCAGAACCTCTGTCTGCTAACTGGGATCTGGAAGGGGATCTGGAAGGATGGTGTGCTGAGTGGGACATCTTTGTCTGGGGACTGCAGCCACTTCCCACAGGTCTTCCTGCATAGCTCATCTGTGTTGACTTTTATGGTGGATCCTTGAGGAAGGAAGGGTGCGGACGGGCCAGAAGTGAGGTCAACTTCTTTGCTTACCGCTGTGTTGAACTTTGGTCCCTCTCTGAGGTGATGAATGGAGCCTACCCACTTACAAAGTCCCATTTATTCATTCATCCATTCATTCAAATGAGAGTCTGGTCACCAGGCAAGGCACTGAGCTGAAACAATAGCCTGAAGCAGAAAACTGCCTCCACAAGCTTCCATTCTTATGGAAGAGACAGATAGTGAAGAAAATAACATATGTTAGAAGATGAAAAAGCTACAAGGAAGAATTGAGTTTGGGAGCTCTGGTGGCCTAGTGGTAAGAATCTGTACTGCAATCCCCAAGGCGTGTGTTTCAAATACATCAGCTTATTCCAGGGGAGAAGAATGGGCAATCTCCTCCTGTGCGAGTACTGCCTCTGACAACCCACTGGCGGATCAGCTATGAGTCGGTTCTTACGTGATGACACATCACAAAACAACAGTGTTGATGGCACTTTAGAGCCCGTAGTGTATAGCTATCCTTCAGCACATTTTTCCTCATAATAACTCCAATATCATGCCCATTTTACAGCTGAGAAAACCGAGGCCCAAATAGATCTTATTCTTAGATTCCTTTTTTAAGTAATTGAGCAAATGTACTATTCCCTGTGTCAGTCAACACTGGCATTAAGCAGAAAGTGAGGCCCTCTGGGACTCCACCCTCAAGAGTGCATAGATTAGAATAGTTGTTCCAACCCCATCTTCACACTAGAGTAAGTTGGGGTACTTGAGCCCCACCCTAGAGCTTTTTGTTCCCTCGATTTGAGGATGGGGCGTGTTGTTAGGTGCCATTGAGCCAAGTATGACTCATAAAGACCCTGTGAACAACAGATCTGAACCTTGTCCTATCTGTGCCATCCTCATCATTTCTGACACACATGAGCCCATTGCTGCAGTCACTGTATCAACCCATCTGGTTGAATGAAGGTCTTCCTCTCTTTCACTCACCCTCCACCTTTCCAAGCATTGTGTCCCTTTCCGAGGAATAGCCTCTCCCAGCAACATGCCACAAATCTATGAGATGAAGTTGCACCATCCTTGCCTGTAAGAAACATTTCTAACAGCTCTCCTAGCATGTCTCGCATGCAGCCGTATTAAAGGCTACTGGTTTAGTGATCTGTCCTGGTTACTAACTGAAAAGGCTGAGACTTGAACCCAGGTCTTTTCTTTCTCAGTCCCATTCTCTCTTCACAATACTTTTCAACAGGAGAGGGGCCCCCAGTGAAAAAAAGGCTCCCCACTTGAGAAGGTTTGTCTCTCTGTTGTCTGCCTGAAGTATTTGCTGAGGGGCTTTGCTGAGTTGATTCCCAAGGGCTGAGTAGATTCATGGGTTGTAGAATCAGACAGATTTGGGTGGATTGCCACCCCTGTGCCTCTCCTTGTGAGCTTGGGAAATCACCTTAATTTTGTGAGCCCCTGCTGCCTTGAGGGTGACTTGGGAGGTTAGATGAGATGTTATATATATCATCAAAAGCCAGCATCAATTGCACATGGAAGATACTTTAAAAGTGTCTGTTGAATAACTGAAGGAATGACTGTGATAATCAGGAAGGAGTAGTAGCTGAAGGTCTTGTCTACTTGGTGCCATCAGTTATCTTGCTAGGTACCAGTTGGCCAAATCTCAGTAGCCAAGAAGTGGGCAGACTCTATTTTCAACTTAGAAGTTGTTGTTGTTGTTGTTGTTGTTGTTGTTAGGTGCTGTCACGTCAACTTCAACACAGAGTGATCCTCTGGAGAACTGACCTGAGCCTTGCCCAGTCCTGTGTCATCCTTATCATCTCTGATAACTTCTTGGCTTTTCTGTAGAACAGTGGTTCTCAACCAGGGCTGATTTTGTCCTCCATCAAGGGACATTTGAAGATGCCTCAATATACTTACAACTCTTACAACTGTGTATAAGGAGAGGTTGCTACCATCTTTTAAAGGGAGTACTTGTTAAGTGTACTAGAAAGCAGAGGGCATTCCTCCTACCACAAGGACTTATCCATATCATTTGTGGCAAGGTAAAGAAACCATGCCGTATAGAAAACTCCCTCGTAATATATGATGCGGTATTATTGTCATGACAGGAGTCCAGAATGAAGGCTACATACTGGAGTGGACTTGAGGGGAGGAATTGTATAACAATGAAAGAATTTTTCCTTTACTTTTCAAAGAGAAGCAGGAGCTGTAGGGGAGAGGTGGGCAGGGAGAAAAGTGCAACATTGAATAAATGGAAATCCAAAATCTCTGTAAATTTTCATTAAAATTAATAATGAACCCCCCACACAGATGATCAGACTAAACAAAAAAAAAAAAGAAAGAAAAAAAAGAAAAAGAAACACACACACATACCCCCACATCCATTTGTGGGCCCAGGACCTTCCTCCTCCTGTATTTGCATATCTTTGCCCTCTGCGATAAATACTTTCTCTCCTCCACACTGCGTTTCATAGACATGTCCTCTGGTTCTCATTCCACCTTTCTGTTGCCATCTTTCTATTATTTCTAGGCAGAGTCACATCTCTCTTATTATTTAGCCTTTGTCGCAGCCATGTAGGACTCTGTCTGGAGTAACTTGCTGGTGTACTTTGCACAGACTGGATCAAATGAGCACGGGACGGAACCCATCTTTGTTATCCCTGTATGGGGTTCAGCATATGTGAGGCACAGTGCTCTGTCCGGGCATCACCAACTGATTTCACTTGCTCAGCCCCGATGTGGCCTCAGAATAGTTTTGAATATATTGCCCAGGCAGATATGACTAATAACAGAGTGGAATTGATGTTCAATCTGAGATACTGCTTTCCAGCCTGTCTTCCCTCTGCCCACTGCTCTCCCTGTTTTGCCTGAGTTGTCACTGTCTATAGAAAGCTGTTGTAAAATGTAGCAGCAGAGAGGGTGGTTTGTGGGTATTTTGGGGGGGACATGATTGAGGCTGGGCTGAGGCAATCTCCTGCCTTCTTACAGA